CAGCTAGAAACACAATTGCTTCGCAAAATTTTGTTAAAAATATTCCGAAAAATTCAACAAATTCGACCAAAAATGGCGTTATTTTTGTCCTTTTTAATAGTTTAAGCACGTTTTTGAGATTAAAACAAAGAAAATTCTAAAAATTTCGCTGAAGCAGGCAAAAAACTTTCAAAATTATATCTAAATTGATATTATTTTTAACTTGTTTCGCTCGACTTACTTCGTTTTTGAACCAGAGGTTCATTTATTTTGCAAAATCTTGTCCAAACACGCTTTAAAATCACAAACGCAATTGATATTGATGTTATTTTGTTTGTTTCACTCAAAATCAGTTACATTTTAGAGCAAAATAAGATAAAAATGAGCCGATAAAATACAAATTTGGGCAAAAATGCTTCGTTTTTGAATTACGATCTCCGGTTCTTTACGAAATTTTGCTAAAACGAACTGAAAATTCAACCAATTAAGTCAAAGATTACATTAATTTTGCATTTTTCTAGAATGTGGCACGTTTTTTTAGCTAGAAACGCAATTATTTCGCAAAATTTTGTTAAAAACAAGCCAAAAAAAACACAGAATTGGGCCAAAAATGATATGATTTTTTCCTTTTTCAAAAGTTAAAGCAGATTTTTGCTAGATTTCGCTAAAACAAACTAAAAAATCAAGAAATAAAGTCTAAAATTATGTTATTTTTGCATTTTTTCGAGCGTTTTAGCACGTTTTTCAGCTAGAAACGCAATTATTTCGCAAAATTTTGTTAAAAACAAGCCAAAAAACACAGAATTGGGCCAAAAATTATATGATTTTTTCCTTTTTCAAAAGTTAAAGCAGATTTTTAAGCTGTCGCCAAAGCGTGTCAAAAATCACTAAATTGTTATAAAAAAAAAGATTATATTATGCGCTAATTTGATTATTTCGTCAAATTTTCTCGAAAAAAAAAATCGAAAACCTTGGTGGTTTTGATTAAGAATAGTTCTATTTGTTTTTTAGGAGATATTACTAAACAGAATCGAAAATGGCAACTTATTTTTGTCTTTTTCTAATGCTTTTTCAGCAAGAAACACAATTATTTTGCAAAATTTTGTTAAAAACAAGCCAAAAAGCTAAAAAAATAGCCCAAAATCAGCGTTTTTGTCTTGGTCGAATATTTAAGCATGTTATTGAGATAAAAATACAAAAATCGGCGTTTTTGTCTTGGTCGAATATTTAGGCATGTTATTGAGATAAAAATACAAAAAGTTGGAAATATTGCGTTGAAACAAAAAAAATTACAAAATTAAATCAAAATTGATATCATTTTTTTAGTTTGTTCGCCCGACTTAGTTCGTTTTTGAACCAGAGGTTCATTTATTTTGCAAAATCTTGTCCAAACACGCCTAAAAATCACAAAAAAGATTGGATATTGATGTTATTATGTTTGTCTCACTCGATTTAACTGGTTTTTTGACCAAAATTAAAACAAAAATAAGCGAGAAACCACAAAATTTGTCTGAAAATGCACGTTTTCTAAAATCTCAGGTTTTTTTTGCTAGATTTCGCTAAAACAAAATAAAAAATCAAGAAATTAAGTCATGTTATTTTTGCATTTTTTCGAGCATTTTAGCACATTTTTCAGCATGCCATTTTTGCTTTTTGCAAAAGTTTGGGAAGATTTTTGAGCTGAATACTGCGTTTTTTCCCGAGATTTTGCCATACAAATCGCAATCTGGTGAAAATTTTCAACTCGGATCTGGTGGATTCTATGTTTTTGTTCTGTCAACACTGAGGTTATGTTATATGTCAAAAATACCGTCATGTGTGACTTGCGATATATTTAAATGTGATTGAGAAGCAATGCTGACAATTTTAATATGTAAAATTCACCATATGACGCTGACACCAACTTGACAACACTTGGATAACTGTTTATAAAAAAACGAACTATAAAGTATATTTCATTGAAATTGGCATAATAGGCGGCTATGGAATTTCGTATTTAAGTTTGTAGACCTGTGCATGTCCCTGATATAACAGCTGATGGGGTTTTTGTTTTTCTTTGATCACTTACCTACATGGTTTACTTAACTGACATGACTGACATTTGTATTCGTTTTTTCACTGTTTTCGTTGGTTGTTCGTTATTCCTACTATTTTTTCAAATTATAATTAAAAGTAGTTCTCTTCAGAACCCCAGATTTAAAGTACACGCTAAGGTATGTTTGAAAACATAATCAATTTCTTTTTGTTCCTGTTTTAGGCATTTTAGGTTAATGGAATCAAATATACCAATTTGAATTAAGCCAAATTATTTTATCCACGGCAAAACACGATTTTTCAGGCTTCAGTACGCGAAGCTTCATTTTGTACAGATTTCCTTTTTTCACTCCGATCGCAACAACTTTACCATTGTTTAAAAATTCACAATTTTGTCCTACATTTTTAAAGACAAAATCCAAACCCCTTTTGGCTGCAACTTTCACGGAAAATAAATTGTGTTTCATCTCCGGTGTGAATAAAACGTCTTTTAAAATTCCTGAAAGCCACTTATTATCAACGAAAGTCTGTATTTTCTACAAAGCAAATAGTGTATGTTTTTGGTGTCAAAACTACATCTACAAAGGGATGAAACTTTTTATGGAGAAAAACTCTCTCTGAAAACCTTTGAAAGAGGGTTCTTGAAAAATAAAATTTTAACTATCTTCACCTCACTTTTCACAAATTTAGTTCCTTAATATGTAAAGCCTTTTTCACATTTAAAGCGCAGTTTACACAATCATGGCCTACTGTTATGCCAATTTAAATGAAATGGATTATAGACAATCGACATTATTCAATGTTGCCAATAATTTGGCAACACTGATCATCAAATACAAACGTCACAAACTTAATAAACGCCAAGTGGTGCCAACAGTCACAATTACATTATTCAACGTTGCCAACTCAATTTCGAGGTCTCAGCCTACTATAGGAAGATTCGCTTACTGGCACTTGTGGCAGACGTGTTTCCCCGACCCTATGGCTTTAACTTTAGCATTGCACTCGTGACACAGCGCTCGTCCGGCATTTTTAATAAATCCGGTGTCGGCCAATTCCGTCTCGCACATCTCGCAACGGAAACATTCCGGATGCCAACTGGCATTCATCGCCTTGATGACCCGTCCGATGATAAAATTGTTGCATTTGCCACAACATGGAGCAAAGAGAATTTGGAAATCTCTCTCGCAGTATTTGCGGTCGTCGTATTCGTAGAAAATGCCGTCTTCGAACTCTTGGAAGCATTGGGCYCAACTGAAAGAATTTTTTTTATTAAAACAGTCGCTAAACAGGTTTTTTTACTTACACGAAACATTGTTGGTGCCACAGTTGGCCGGTCGAATTAACGATTTTTTCGTGGGGCTCGAAACCGTCGCTGCAACGGGCGCACAGCATGTTGTCCAGGGACATGGTGGAAGTGACTCTGGAACAAATACAATTTTAATTGAAACATATCGCAGTTTTGTTGTTTACTGGTCACACGATAGTGGATATGTAATCTGTTGTTTTTTGTAAAAAAAAACACAAAGTACAGGGTGTTTCACAACTCGCACCCCAGAGAAAAGATGAAAGTTGGAAAAAATATTCAAAAAATTCTATCTGTCAAAAAATTTTGACATTTGACACCCACGTGGTACTTATGAATATTTAAATTTTATTTTTTACTTAATTCCAATAATAAAACCAAGAAAGTATTACGTGTCGTATGTCGTAGTGCGTAACATGCCATGGTGTTGGTTTTGCGAATAGGGTTCCTCGATAAAGTCGTAGTCGATATCTTGAAAATTACGATATTCCGAAAGATCATCTTTAGAGTTTGCCCTTCTTTGGAAAATTCGGCTCTGAGAAATTGAACCCAATGAGGGAATACTTGGAGATAAGTCCTTTTTAGAAAACATTAATTTAACGCACGTAACACGTAGCACTCGTGTACCAAAAAGGATTTTTCCTCTCGTAAACCACTTCTAATCTATGGCTAAAGTCAACATTTCGTATAGATATGAATATGTTTCCCCACAACATCAATAGACAGTTTAGATGTTGATAGCACAACGTATGTGTTTAATGTCGAGAAAAAATGTGTTTAATAATGCGAGATCAGATTCATGGTAAGAGGCAATTTACATTAGTAATTTAGTTTAAATAACAATGTTATTATTTTGTCATCACAGATAAGCCATATAAATTGTGACTAAATAACAATGTTTACACCCTTGATGAATGTTTAACACAACAAACTTTCCCGTTAATTATAAAAACTGACATCACAAAACAATTCAGAGGAATGCTTAACGAAATTATTAGTTTCGAACTAATATACAGGTTGATTCATATAAATCCACAAGCTTGACAAACTTTGAATGAGTATAACTTGTCAATATGTTTTGGAAAAAAACGACATACACATTGAGAAAATTGAGTATAAAATTGATAACACACAGGGCGCTCAAAAAGTGGCGCACCAACTCATTGATACGTTGTTGAGAAGCATAATACAGATTACAAGAAAAATCTTGAAAAAATTTGATGCTACAAATCTATTTTCTTATGTTTATCAGTTCACATTCATACAGAGTGTTTGACCTAATTTTACGAGGCCTGAGCCTGTAACTGGTTTTAGAGCAAGATAAAAATAAGCCGAGAAAACACAAATTTGGGCGAAAATGCTTCGTTTTTGAACTACAATCTCCGGTTCTTTACGAAATTTCGCTAAAACGAACTGAAAATTCAACCAATTAAGTCAAAAATTACATTAATTTTGCATTTTTCTAGAATGTAGCACATTTTTCAGCTAGAAACGCAATTATTTCGCAAAATTTTGTTAAAAACAAGTCAAAAAAAAACACAGAATTGGGCCAAAAATGATATGATTTTTTCCTTTTTCAAAAGTTGAAACAGGTTTTTAAGATGAAAACTATGTATTTTGTTGCCATAGCGTGTCAAAAATCACTAAAAAAAGATTATATTATGCTTTAACTTGATTATTTCGTCAAATTTTCTCGAAAAAAAAATCGAAAACCTTGGTGGTTTTGATTAAGAATAGTTCTATTTGTTTTTTTCGAGATATTACTAAACAGAATCGAAAATGGTAACTTATTTTTGTCTTTTTCTAATACTTTTTCAGCAAGAAACACAATTATTTTGCAAAATTTTGTTAAAAACAAGCTAAAAAGCCAAAAAAATACCCCAAAATCAGKGTTTTTGTCTTGGTCGGATATTTAGCATGTTATTGAGATAAAAATAAAAAAAGTTGGAAATATTGCGTTGCAACAAAAAAATTACAAAATTAAAT